AAAAAAAAAAAAAAAAAAGAATTTAATCGCTCAAAGGTAACAGCCATTAGCATTTTGGGCACATTCTACACACGTAGACACTTATAAAAATGAGATCATGTTAAAGATAGCGTTTTGCTATCTGATTTAATCACTTAAAATATGTCTGAATGTATAAGTGAGGACAGGCCAGGCTGTACTGGGATAACAACCCCAAAATCTCAGTGACTTAAATGACAAACGTTTATTTCTTGCTTGTATGACTTGTCCATCTTGGATTGTTGGTGCAGCAAGTGTGATCTTGGGCTTGATGGAGCAGTGACCATATCAAACGTTGCTAATTACTATGCCGGTGAGAAAAGGCAGTTCTGGAGGACCTCACACCTGCAATCAAATCCTTGGCGCAGAAGTGACAGATGCCACTTAACATTCATAACTTATTGGCCAGAGCCAGTCCCGTGGCTCTGTCTTCCCACAAGGGGGCCAGGAAATGCAATCCTTCTGGCAGAGAGTTGGAGAAATACTTGGTGAACAGCACAGAAGTCCAGTAAAATTAACATTGATGTCAGTAAATATAGGCCCATAGTATTATTTTCAATAGCTGTATTCTAATTAATCAATGTATCATAATATATTTAACCAAACCATTTTTAAAGGATATGTTAAGGTATTTCCAATGATTAGCAATTGTTTTAAAAGTTGCAAAGAATTTTTTTGTACATTCATTTTTTTTCCTGTTGACTTTTCCCCCATATGATGCTTTTCTGAAACTAGGATTTCTAAATTAGAAGACGTGCATACTGGTGGAAATGTAAAATGTTACAGCCACTTTGAAAACTGGTTTATCTATTTCTTAAAAGTTAAATTTATCATATGATCCAGGAATTCCACTTGTAGGTATCTGCCTGAGGAAACTGAAAACATATGTCCAACACAAAGAACTCTATGTGAATGTTCATAGAGTTCAAGTTCCACATTATAAATAATAGCCAAAAAGTAGAAATAACCTCAGCCTCCATCAACTGGCCAATGGATAAACAAAATGTGTTGTATCCACACAATGGAATATTATTCAGACGTAAAAAAGAGCAAAGTGCTGATAAATGCTACAAGATTACGCTAAGTGAAAAAAGCCAGTAATAAATGACCACATATGGTATGATTCCATGTATATGAAATGCCCAGAATGAGTAAATCCATAGAGAGTAAATCTACAAAGTAGATTAGTGGTTGCCTGGGGCCAGGGCAAAGGCTGGGGTTGGGAACCTTTCTGTTAGGATAATAAAAATGTTCTAAATTGATTGTCGTGGTGATTGCACAACTCTGTGCATACACTAAAAAACATTGAATTGTTTTAAGTGAATGAATTTTATTGTCTGTAAATTATACCTCATAAAGCTGTTGAAAAAGGCATGCATACAGTCTAAGCATATTTTCCAAGTCTGTAATCGACATTGTCAAACTGCCCTCCAGAAAGGCCGATTCATCACTCACAGCAGCGGTAGTTAACACTTCTGTTCTTTAAACAGTGATGTGTCATGAGAAATAATCAGCAACCAGCTAGGACTTTTAAATTAGTCCAGAGGGGCTGGTTAATTATTATATGATTTTTTAAAATAAGGATGTTATTACCGTCCCCTGCCCCTCCTCTGCATGTGGGAAAGTATAACAAATCATCCACAAAAAACACAGTAAGAAAGTTCAAGGTAAGTTCAGTTTTGCTTCCAGAGTTTCCTGGAGTTTTGAGCAGAGTAAATGAACCCATCAGAGTTGAGCTGACAGGTTTACTCGTTGTAGCAGACACAACAGCAAAGAGCCGATTTTCAAGCCAAAAGTGAATGGAAACCGAAAACAGATATTCTAATGAACTCTGTCCTGGCCATTTCATCTGTCTTCCCCTAACAGATGTAAGAACCCTCAGGTGAGGAGGGGGTGTGACATCGTGGGTTCAGCCGTCAGCCAGGTCTGAGAGGGATGAATTCTAACCCTGGCCTGGATGCTCCCTGGTTACAGGTCAAAACTGCTTTTCAGGATGGATAACGCTTTGCGTGAATTCGAATTGGTTTTAACCTCCCTCATGTAACTCACCTGAGAATGACCTCACGATCATATTTCATGTCTCTTTTCTTCTTCTAGGTTGCACTCAGGGTCCCAAGGCAAGTCAGGCTGTTGCAAAGGCTGGTATGTATATTCACGTATATTCTCTTAAAAATCTGTTCCCCTCGCTATTCTGTGTATTTTGAACCAGGCAATAACTATGTTTGCAGCTCCCCCAAAGCTTATAAATTGCATGTAGAAGAAATCGAACATGAAACAGTGTAGCTTCTGTAAGGCTTTCTTTTATAGGCTTTTATAAGGCTTTCTTTAAGTGGATTTTTTTTTTCTGAAAAGAGACCTGATTATTCCAGTAGAACTGTAAGGACAAAGTGTGAAGTTTTCAAAGAACTTCTTAGAAAAAAGCCCAACACCTAAGTGAATCTTTACTTTTTTATGATGTTCTTACACAAGAAATAAAGGCTGTGTTGTGAAGTAAACAGCTAAAGCAAGCAAAGAATTCACATTTATAGATTAAAGCTTTGTGTAATGGAAGTTGGTCCAGGCTCTCAGTGCATGCTGGAGGTTTCCAGATGGAACTTGGGCAGATGTTCAGGATTCTAAGCATTTATCTGAAATAATCTCAGTCCTTCCTTCCCACTGTGTGTGCGGTGACATATCAAAATGTGGGGACACACCTTCAGGCTCTGAGGCTATGGAATCCTCTGTACATCCTCAGGAATGAGCCATTTACCCAAGGCCTCCGCACTCCTGGCTGGTGGTCGAGTCAAGGCTGGATTGACCATGACCAATGTCGCAATCATTACCATCTTTATTTGGACCAGGACTTTGTATTCTCATCATTTTCTGCATGGCCTCTTCCTCCCCTCCCTTCTCCTATCCTCCCAATCCCGACTCCCCATACCCCAGGTTTGCTAACCTCATTGTCTCATGTTTTTGTTCATGTTCACATCGTCATACACAGACATATGTGAACATAAACGGGTCAAGAATTGTGAAGAGTCTAGATTTTTACCCTGCTTACAAACCAATAAGCTAGTCTGTTGCTGTTCCATGGATGCTGGCACAAAGCAGGAGACTCCTGGGCCAGAGATGAAGGATGATTTATTACTCACAGTAAGACCAGAAGTCAGAGTGGCAGGATTGGTGCCTTTCCTCCAGCTCAGTTCTCAGGTAGTGATACAGAGAGGGCCAGGCGACACCTACACACGTGGTTGGTTTTATCACAAGAGAGGTACTGTATAGCACAGGGAGCTCTACTCAGTACTCTATGATGACCTATATGGGAAAAGAATCTAAAAAAGAGTGGATATGTGTATAGGTATAACTGGTTCACTTTGCTGTACAGCAGAAATGAGCACAGCATTGTGAATCAACCATACTCCAATAAATATTAGTCAAAAAAAAAGAGAGAGAAACGCTAAGCTTAGGGAACCTGACTCTTTTGTAATGAGCACTAAGCCTGCCTGATCTTTGACCTGGAGGGAGACATTCTCTTTATTATTCTGGACTTTAAGCCAACCTGCCCTTTGTTCTGAAGGGAAATCCCACCTCTCTCTTCCCAAGCTGTTCATTATACAAATATCCTGGAAAATGCAGTACAAAACAGAGGTAGCCAGTGCCTCTGCACAGAAAATGTGCAGAAATACCAGACTCATGGACAGTAGTCTCCCAGCAAGACATGGATACATATATTCATTCATTCAACAAGGTTTTTTTCGTTTTGTTTTGTTTTTGGCCAAGCCACATGGCTTGTGGGATCTTAGTTCCCTGACCAGGGATTGAACCTGTGCTGCTTGCAGTGAAAGCACTGAGTCCTAACCAGTGGACTGCCAGGGAATTCCCAACAAGTATTTTTTTGAATCCTTACTATCTGCCCAGAAATGTTCAAGGCATTGGGAATATAGCAATGAACGAAACAGGCAAAAGACCCTGTCTTTCATAGAGCTTGAATTCTAAAGCGGGGCAGAGATAGACACAGTCAATAAATAAATGGTTAAGTGTGTTAGGAATAGAGAAGATGCCATGAGAAAAACAACATGGCAGAGGCAGGTGGGGGACCCTCATGTACGTTGGCATGTATGAGAGTTCTCATATTTTCTTTCAGACAGTGGGACCATGTAACCACAGCTACTGTTGCCTGCATGCTGACCATGTGCCAGGCATTGTCCTGAGCACCTCATGTGTCATAGCTCAGCCAAATATAGAGACATTTTACAGATGAGAAAACCGAGGTTCAGGGAGATTGAGTCACTTGTCCAAGGTTACACTTTCTGAAAGAGGTGGTTGAACCAGGATTTTGAGTCCCAGCAGTCTAGCTTCTGAGTCTGTGCTTGTCACTTATACACACAACTGCCTTCTCACCTGATTGTATTTTTCTATTTCTTATTATTTTCACTCAACAGTGCCTCACCTGGCCTACCTCTATCCATTCTTTTAGATGGTGAAAAGTATTACAGGTTGTTGGCACATGATGGTTTATCAAGCATTCTACTATTGATGAGCTTTCAGTATTTTTCCAATTTTTTTGCCCCTGTAAATGCTGCTGCAAAAAAATTTTTTCTAGTATGTGGGGTGCTTTTAATTCTGTGGCTGAGATTTTCAGTAAGAGGATTGCTGAGTCAGAGTGCACACACACTTTTAATTTTGACAGATGTAGTCAGACTACTTTTTGAATACACCTAGTACCTTATGTCTTAATTTCATTTCTATCAGCAGTGATGAATATGTACATTTCTGCCAGCAGTGCTATAATTATTCCTTTTGATTTGTCAGTCTCTTAGATTTAAAGTGATACCTCATTGTTCCTTTAATGTGCATTTCCCTGAGTTTGGACTTTCCCCCATATATTTATTGGCCATTCAGAGTCTTTCTTCTGTGAAATTTTTTCTGCACTCATTTTTCTATTGTGTTTTTTTATCCCCTAATTGTCAGTATGTAGATCTTTGTGTGCTCTACATACTCGGTCTTCTGAATTGGAAGAGTTCTCCCCTAAATCTGTTATTTGTCTATTGACTTTGTATATAGCATAGTTGCCATATAAAAGCTTTAAGTTCCTTAGTAATAAATAAGTTTATCTGTTCTTTATACCCTTCAAGGTTTCATTCTTGGTTAAAAAGATTTCCTTGGCCCTTTGGCTTAGACGGTTTTATACAATCTCTTAAATTTTCTTGGAAATCTAGTAACGTTAAAAGCCTCACTTTTATTGATGCATATATTATAATTATGTGATGTGGACTTTATTTACCCATCCAAACAGTACCAGGATGATCTTTCCAGCATAGGTCTGGTGCATCACTCTCTTTTGCAAATGTCTTCAGTGACTTTGTATCACCTGTAGGATTAACTCTGAGGACATCTATGGCCCCTTGTGATCTGGCTCTTGCCTGCCTCTGTAGCCCTCGTTTACCTGAGTCTCCTTGTATTTTGTGTTCTAACCGTACCACACTAATCTGAATGTTCTCTACTCTAATTAATGAAGAGGATGTGGTGACCACAGCTGGTACCCTCCTATCACTGCCAGCTCATGGACCCCTGGGGATTTGCTTGATTTTACTCTGAATTAAGTAGATACCCTTTTAAGGAAGCTCTTGTATCACAGACACCAAAAATGTGTATGTTTTGAAAAACAGGAGTATCTTTTTTTCTGAGTCTCCATGGTGCTTAACAGATACTGGCCTGTTTTCCTAAAATAATTCACTGCCATCCTTTAACGTCCCGATGGCAGGGGCTGTGTCTTGGCAACCCCTTCCTAGCAGATATTCTAAAATTTGTAGCTGGGATGTGTTTTGAGCAGATGTGGTGAGACACACAGACACAGAAATAAATGATCCTCACGAAGGAGGAATTTTATACTCAGAGGTCCCAAGGGATGAGAGGCATGGCAGCGCTATGTGGGGAAGCACTGGGTCAGTCAGGGGGCAGCAGGGACAGAGAGAGAATGTGGCCAAGAGCCTTTATTGGGGTTTTTACAGGAAGAAATTGATGAGTCAGGTTAGGCATGCTGCGTAAGCTTAGGATTGTGTAGTTGGAATAATGTTGGCAGTCTCTGGGCTACAGGGATGGTCCCCAGTGGTCGGGGACCTGGTCCTGGGGTGATACGGGGCAGGGGGAATATTGGTTGGTGTGTGAGAGTTTGGTAAAGGAGGTGGTTGGGGTAGAGGGCTCTGTGCTGATTGGTTTTATCTCGAAGGTGTGCTCACAGGGGCGTCATTTGCTATCTCTAGGAATCAGCTGGCCCTGGGAGGAGCAGCCTCTCCAAGATCAAAGCCCCAAATGCCAGAGCATCAAGAATATAGAAAATAAGAAAATACAGTCAGTTCAGCA